GTGTGTGTGTGTGTGTGTGTGTGTGTGTGTGTGTGTGTGTGTGTGTGTGAAGAACTATAGTGAATCCGATGGCCCTCTTTGCCTCTCTTTAATGTTAGATTGTTTAGAACCTGCTTTCTTCCAAAATGGATTTGAGGCAGCTTCCAAAACACACAACCAGGTAAAAATCAAGAAAACAAGATGGGAAGAAAATAAGTCTAGAGCAAGATTTGGGGCTTTTGTGGGCCCTCCCTGGCAGTCCAGTTGTTAAGACTCTGTGCTCCCAATGCAGGGGGCCTGGGTTCCATCCCTGGTGGGGGAACTAAGATCCTGCATGCCCCATGGTGTGGCCAAAAAATTAAAAAAACAAAAAGAAACAAACAAACACTTTGCTGGACACCTGAAACTAACACAACATCGTTAAAAAGAAAAAAAAAAAAGATTTGGGGCTTTTTGGCCCACACAGTTTCTGCTACAAGTATCAACTCTGCTGTTGTGTTGCCACAGCAGCTGTAGAAAATAGTCATGGGGTCTATCGTGTTCACTGGAACCATAAACAGGCAGCAGGCGGGATTTGCCCGTGAACTGCTGTTTTCCGACCCCTGATCTAGACTCAGAATGTTAAAATTAAGTAACGAAAATATATTAGCGTGAACTGTATAACTGAAGGGCCTGCATAATTGCTCAATGGGGTCTAAATTCAGCTGTGAGTTTCCTAAAGGTCAAAGCAAAGAGGAACGCTGGCCTTACCTTTATTATTATTTTTTAATTTATTTATTTAATTTATTTATTTTTGGCTGCATTGGGTCTTAGTTGCTACACACGGGCTTTCTTTAGTTGCAGTGAGCAGGGTCTACTCTTCGTTGCGGTGCGCGTGCTTCTCATTGCGGTGGCTTCTCCTGTTGCGGAGCGCGGGCTCTAGGTGCGCGGGCTTCAGTAGTTGTAGCACGTGGGCTCAGTAGTTGTGGCTCGCGGGCTCTAGAGTGCAGGCTCTGTAGTTGTGGCGCACGGGCTTAGTTGCTCTGTGGCATGTAGGGTCTTCCTGGACCAGGGCTCAAACCCGTGTCCCCTGCATTGGCAGGTGGATTCTTAACCACTGTGCCACCAGGGAAGTCCCAGCTTTACGTTTAAAAATCTCACTTTCCACGAGATGAAAGCACACCAGCTGCTCTGGAGGAATTCTGGCCTTGTGGTTTTGATCATTTCCTAAAGACCCGAAAAAGGGGCGTCATGTGGTATAAGGCAGGGGTCCCCAACCCCCAGGCCGCAGACCAGTACCGGTCCGCGGCCTGTTAGGAACCAGGCCACTTGGCAGGAGGTGAGCGGAGAGGGGCCAAGTGGAGCTTCTTCTGCCGCTCCCCATCACTCGCATTACCGCCTGAGCCATCCCCTCCCCCATCCATGGAAAAACTGTCTTCCACGAAATCGGTCCCTGGTGCCAAAATGGTTGGGGACTGCTGGTATAAGGGACAAAGTCCACAGCATCGTATTTTCAACAGCCAGGTTCATGGAGCTGCTGTTAAGCGTCCCTCCAAGTGAGCCAAGGGCATGATTGCAAAGCACGGTCCAGAAAATGCAAATCTGAGGACATGAGACACTTTACTTGGATTGCCGGTGGTCTGGGCTGGAATCAAAGTAAAATGGAGACCGTTTAGCTAAAGGAACGAGTTGCACGCTTGTCACCCAGACAGTCTCCCTTGAATACTGAGTCGTCGAGCTCCCACCCAGCTTCAGGCTGGTGTCAGGATTCCCCTGTGGCCACAAGGTGCTCATTCAACCAGGGCAATTACGTTCCCTCTCATTCTTTCAGGTTCAGGACCAGTCAGGCTTAGGTCCCCATTCCTGCTCTATCATAAAACCTAAAAGAAGGCAGAGGGCAATTATTTTCATGTCTTGTTATTACTTCACCCCCTTGATGACTGGCGCCATATTGATCACCATTTATTCAGTGGTTTCCAGGTGCCAGGGACTTGGCTAAGCACCCTCTGTGTGTGATCTCATTTTCATCCTCACAGCCCCATGGGGATACAGGCAACTGTTCTTATTCCTTTTCTTTCAGATGAGAAAGTTGAGGCTCAGAGAGATAGTAGCTTACCTGGCATCACTCATGAAGTATTTGGATATGAACATAGGCTATATCTGGTTCTTTTATTTTTTTAGACTTTTTTTGAAACTGAAGTATAGTTGATGTATAATAGTATATAAGTTATAGGTGTACAATATAGTGATTCACAATTTTTTAAAAGGTTATGCGCCATTTATAGTTATTATAAAATATTGGCTAGATTCCCTGGTTGTACTATATATCCTTGTAGCTTATTTATTTTATACAGAGTATTTTGTGCCTCTTAAGCCCCTACCCATAATTTGCCCCTCTCCCCTTCCCTCTCCCCACTGGGAACCACTAGTTCTCTATATCTGTGAGTCAGCTTCTTTTTTGTTATATTCACTAGTTTGTTGTTCTTAGTTTCTTTTCTTTTGGCCATGCTCCGTGGCGTGTGAGATCTTAGTTCCCCCACCAGGGATCAAACCTGTGCCCCCTGCAGTGGAAGTGTGAGTCCTAACCACTGGACTGCCAGGGAATTCCCATCTGTTGTTATTTTTTACATTCCCCATGTAAGCATCTATCTGACTCTTAACCAAGACCCTTCACGACCATCTCTCTCAGTGTTCTCACGACTTCCTGGTTTCCTGACCTTGACTTGCCTCTGCTGACTTCCCCGAGGTCTTCAGATTTCCTGCATGCTGAGGCACGCTTGTCTGTTACTGGTTACTTTTGGGAGTGGCTCTTCTAGAACCCTTACCAGGCCTTGGTGTCTCATCATAGAATCCTGCTCAGGTTTTCACCTTAATCACTCGGTTCTTGACCCTTGACCTGGTTTCTCCTTCCAGAATGGCCTCACTGCTTCCCCACCACCTTTTCTTGGTCATACTTGTCATTACTACTACTGCCATTCCAGTGTAAACAAAGATGGACTTTTCAGTTCTTGTGTAATTCCTACAATCTTCACAGCAGTGGTCTACATCTGGTTTTCTAATGACCAAAAATAGTAGAGGCATAGTCAACCTCTCAGTGACACATGTGAGGTAACACATGGAATACCAGAATGTCCTTCTTTTT